GCAGCAGAAAACAAGCTTGCTCCCTCCTCCTTATGACTTGCCCTCATATCTTTATCCATGGCCCTCATCATGTCTCCTCTCAGCTTTCTCTTCTGCAGGCTAAACATGCCCAGCTCTTTAAGCCACTTCTCATAGGGCTTGTTCTCCAGACTCTTGATCATTTTAGTCACCCTCTTCGGGACACATTCCACCTTGTCAACATCTCCTTTCAGTTGTGCCCAGAATTGAATACAGTATTCCAGGTGTGGTCTGACCAAGGCAGAATAGAGGGGTAACATGACTTTCCTGGATGTAGACACTATACTCCTATTGATGCAGGCCAAAATCCCATTGGCTTTTTAGCCACCACATCACATTATTGGTTCAGGTTTAATTTGTTGTCCATGAGGACTCCAAGATCTTTTTCACATGTACTGCTGTTGAGTCCTTGCTAAGCTGGTGTTGTGTGCTTTAACTGCCGGGGTCTTAAATGGAAGTCATGTCTATAATGTAGGAGATTTCTGGAAAATCAAGGATTGATCATGGAGGTTAATGAGCTATGTCACATACATTCCCAACTAACCAGCTTCTCTTACTCCTATTAGTCAAATTACTCCTATTCAATCTCATTGTTTCTTGTGGATATTGCTGAACACTTATACAGGACCAAATAAAAAGTTTGACTGGTCCCTTTCAATGTGGAGAAGAAAGCATGGTGAAGATTTGTTGCATGGGAAAGTTTAAGAAGAGACAGGTATTCACATATTCTGAAGACAAAGAAAAGCAGATTAGAGTGGTATGTGAGAATGAGGAAAAGGAGCACAGCTAGTGGGTATAATGTTAATAAAGTAAGTATTCACTCAGCCATGGATGCCCAAGATGTTTCTCTGATGATGCTGAAATAACAATATGGCATCTGCTCTCTGCTCCATGTTCAGAGGCCAACCAGAGTGGAAATTGAAATGTTCTTCAGCACTTGTAGTGTGGTAATGTCCACCACATCTGAGGCAGCAGTCTAGTTCAGAAGACTCAGGACAGGTTGTGTGACAGATCTTATTCTGTTCTCTGACAAGAGCAACAGCCAATGTTTCAGGAGGAAGAGTGAATAGACTAACTCACACACTGAGCAACTGCTGCCTGAAGTGGCCATGCCATTCTGCTTGATGCTAGAATGATATCCACTTAGCTCAGATGACAAATTGAGACAGAAAGAGATTATGTGCAAAACTCCACTGAAGAACTATTGGCCAAATGTAGCAACCTGTCACTTCATAACATACATTGCAGGTATTTGTGTATTATAGATTTATTGTTCACAATAAATATGAACTACATACATTTATGCAATACCAAAATTTTATTGGAATAGAAGAGGGAAATAAGATAGAATGGGCAGAAGAGGATATGAGACAATAGTAAAATATAGAATTCTGGAAAAGTGACAGTTAATTTGACAGGTGTATGACTTTGAAAACCTGAGGGTAACCATTCACTGCCAGTGTCGACTTAGTGAGAGAAAGAATAGTCATAAACTGAAGCAAAAACAAATTTAAGAAACTAAAACTGACAGGTATTAGAAGGCAACAGACCATAGGGAAGATGGAGAAAGTGTTCCATCTGAAAGAGATGGTGTATAACACTGTGAAAGGGAGAATGGTAAATACATTTTCCATCTAATGATTAAAAACATGTATTTCCTATCTCTGTTTGTCTCTCTGTTTAACCATCTACATCAGTGGTTCTCAACCTTGGGTCTCCAGATGTTTTTGGCCTTCAACTCCCAGAAATCCTAACAGCTGGTAAACTGGCTGGGATTTCTGGGAGTTGTAGGCCAAAAACATCTGGGGACCCCAGGTTGAGAACCACTGATCTACATGCTAAAAAAGCACTAACGGTAACAGTAAAGGTTTCTCCTTGACATTAAGTCTAGTTGAGTCTGACTCTGGGAGGTGGTGCTCATCTGCACTTCTAAGCTGAAGAGCCGGCGTTGTCCGTAGACGTCTCCTAGGTCACGTGGCCAACATGACTGCATGGAGTGGTGTTACCTTCCCACTGAAGCGGCACCTGTTGATCTACTCACATTTCCATGTTTTCGAACTGCTAGGTTGGTAAAAGCTGTGGCTAACAGCAGAAGCTCACCTCATCTGTAGATTCAAACCGCTGACCTTTCGGTCAGCAAGTTACACAGTTTAGTGATTTAATACTAGGTACTGTAGTTTATATTTCAGAAGAAGGCAATGACAAACTACCTATGAGTCTTCCTTGCCTAAGAAAACCCTATGGAATTATTGGGGTCACCATAAGTTAGCAGGTGACTTGAAGGCACATAAACAAAAAGGCAGTAAACAGTGGACAAGTTGTTGATGTTTAGAGAATGGCAAACAAGGACAATCTTAAAAGAAATTGTAGGCATTTAAATGAAGAGACGTTCATGTTTTCAATATGAATTGAAACATGCAGTTTATCTAATAATGTCCTTCCACAAGTGAAAACTGGTCCACAGAGTAGTTGTATGAGATTAAGAAGATTTTATGTATTTCGTGTCAAATGCACTACATAAACAAGTATAAAACTGATTAAAAAATAGAAGGAGCACAAGCAACTAAGTAATTTTTGTATTGTCGAAGGCTTTCATGGCTGGAATCACTAGGTTCTTGTGGGTTTTTTCGGGCTATAGAGCCATGTTCTAGAGGCATTTCTCCTGACGTTTCGCCTGCATCTATGGCAAGCTTCCTCAGAGGTAGTGACCTCACTACCTCTGAGGAAGCTTGCCATAGATGCAGGCGAAACGTCAGGAGAAATGCCTCTAGAACATGGCTCTATAGCCCGAAAAAACCCACAAGAACCTAAGTAATTTTTGACCAAAAACAGGCAACAGCAACTGCATGAGGCAGGGCATAGTGGGCAAGCATACAGATGTGGAGATTTTTGTAATGTTCCACAGCAACACAAGGTGGAAGATTCTTCTAGGTAGTGCCATTTTGCCATGTTGTCTTTTGATCTGCTCACTCCACTTCTGAATCTGTTCAGTTGTCCCTGAGGCTGACCCTCGTGTGGGGCTATCTAGTTGGAATTGCCTGGTTTAGCTGCCCAGAAGGATACTCTTGCTGTTAACTGGGGGAACATTAAAAGGAGTGGTGCTTCTCATTAAACTTTTCCTTGATTTGAGTCTTCTGGGAGGAGGCTGATAACCATGCAGTGGATGGCTTTCACAGTGTTCAGCCTTATTTCTCTCACAGTTAGCAGCAACTTCCCTTTGCACATCAGGGGGCGGGGGCAATGTCAGCTAACTTGTAGACTTTATCAGCAGGTGTAGGTTTGAGACATCCTGTGATTATTCTGCATGTTTCATTCAGTGCCAAACAGGGCAGGCATACTCAGAAGTTAAGTAAGACAAGGCCAAGGCTGATGTTCTTATAAATATTGGGTCTGCACCAGTAGGTTACCACAGGGTGTTATTGTGTGCAGCTGCCTTGTGCTTGGTGTTCACGCAGTGTTTCCTGAATGTTAGTGTTCAATTCAAGGTGACATTGAGCTATTTAGGTATTCAAGCTCTTGGTCTTCCCAGGTAGAAGATAATAAGCGTAGAGAGTTAGCACTAAAGAAAACTACAATCCAATATTATTATTTAACTAACTGATTATAGTACTTGGCTACCTCCAAACATCAGGCATCCTCACAACCTCTGAGGATGCCTGCCATAGATCAGGCGAAACATCAGGAGAGAATGCTTCTAGAACATAGCCATATAGCCTGAAAAACCTACAACAACCCAGTGATTCCAGCCATGAAAGCCTTCAACAAAATATTATAAAAGCTTGAAGCCAGGTTGGATTGCTGCATATATGAATTTTTGGGGCACCACTCTACTTGAGTGATTCTTCCTACCTATGGTGAAGGAAAGAAACCTTGCAGAAGTTTTCATGAGATCCTCAGGCTTCTGGGCTAATAATTCAAATCTCTGTGAAATTGTTTTGATAGCAGTTGTGTTCATTTTAGTATTTTAAGCAGTCTGTGTTTCTGTGTTCTTTTCTAAATAATGAATGATAATGAATGATAGATACTATTCATTAAAACACTCATTATCAGCTAAGCAGCACAGTGTTGAAAATATCACATAAATTACCTGAAGTCTCTCCCTTGTCTCTCATTACACATACATACATATAGGCAGTGTACAAGGATCATTTTATTTTGCTAGATAATGTTATAATGTTTTCCCCAACAGGTACAGTTCGGCTAAAATTGTAACAGCTATTAATTGACAACAGTTATTCTACAAACTTTGAACATTTAATGCATGCAGTACTCCTCTCTTTTCTTTGTTAAATAAGATTATGAAGAGACAATAATATAGCAAACAATAGAAGAATTAACTTCTGATTAGAAGAAAGAAAGTTAAGATCTTTCAGAGCAAGTGCTATCTAAGCACAGTTTGTGTGATGATAAATATGAAATGTGGAGAAGCAAAAGGACATGAACATGCAGCGGTTTCCAAGAGAACACCCAATAGAACATTCTTTGTTCCAAATTTACCAGATTTTCTTGAGAAAATTACCAGAGAGGAATTCAACATGAATCATAAACGTGCTGAATTTTCACTTCTTATAAAATAGTTTGTCCCCAGTATGGAACCTTTGGAATGTACAAGGATTTCCTCCATCTGTATCAATTAGAAGAAAAACAGACATATCTGACAGAAGTGTTGAGTACTTAGTCACTAAACTAACCAAAGCAACTGGCAATATCTGTTTCCAATTGTGCCAATTCTGTTGTCCTAATTATTACCACAAGGTAGTAGGAACTTCAGGCAACCTGAGCTGTATAAATCTTGTTCGGTTGTACACTGTTCCATGTTTCCATTTTGCTTTCCTGGCTAAATATTCTACTTGGTTTTAGAAACTGAAAAAAAGAGAGTACATTGCATTATTTACATTAGCCTTTCACAAACTTAATCTCTGTTTACATAATGGTTTATCAGTTAACAATAACACATCATTTATTTTCTCTCCTTTCAACAGATTGCTCAAATCTGGCTTCAAGTTGAAATGAATGCCTTGCAGACTGAAGGAAGCTGAGTACATCGTCACCTCTAATGCTGCAGTGCAAGGAAGGACTAGTCTAGCCATCCTGTCTCCTATCAACATTTGGTACCTTACTTTGCTTCCTGGTCACTTGTACCACACAAAATTACAATCATTCAGCATACATGGAGAGAGACAACAAAGTATGTAAGCCTGGCTAACAAGAGAGAAATTTGCCTGGTCAGAGAGGGGGACAATTCAAATTTATGAAGATTATTTTACATCTTGCCTCCATAACATTACCTCTCATCTATGTGAAGGACACGAATCCAAATCTATTTTCATTTTATTTCCATTATTTTTGCTAGAAATTTTCTCTTTTTAGTATTTTTTTCTTAGTTAGAAATGGGCCCGTGGACTAGAATGTGGCCCATGGACAGGGTTGCTTTTGTGAAATCATGGCTTGTGTTTTCTCTGGGGCTCTACATGCAGTTCTCCAAAGCGATGGCCTGTCCGAGCGTTTGCCGCTGTGACCGAAACTTTGTCTATTGTAATGAACGAAGCTTGACCTCAGTGCCTCTTGGAATCCCGGAGGGTGTAACCGTACTCTACCTCCATAATAACCAAATTAATAATGCTGGATTTCCTGCAGAGCTACACAACGTCCGGTCTGTACACACAGTTTACTTGTATGGAAACCAGCTGGATGAATTCCCCATGAATCTGCCCAAGAATGTCAGGGTTCTCCACCTACAAGAAAACAACATCCAAACCATTTCTCGGGCAGCTCTGGCCCAGCTGTTGAAACTGGAAGAGCTGCACCTAGATGACAATTCCATCTCTACTGTGGGAGTTGAGGATGGGGCTTTCCGGGAAGCTATTAGCCTCAAGCTTCTGTTCTTGTCCAAGAATCACTTAAGCAGTGTACCAGTTGGCCTTCCAGTGGACTTACAGGAACTACGAGTTGATGAAAACCGAATTGCCATCATATCGGATATGGCCTTTCAGAATCTCACAAGCTTGGAACGTCTCATAGTGGATGGTAACCTCCTTACCAATAAAGGTATTGCAGATGGCACTTTCAGCCACCTATCCAAACTCAAGGAATTCTCTATAGTGCGGAATTCTCTAACATACCCTCCTCCTGAACTCCCAGGTACAAATCTTCTTAGACTATCTCTACAAGACAACCAGATATCACACATACCACTTTCAGCCTTTTCGAATCTCCAGCAGCTGGAGCGACTTGATATATCCAACAATCAGCTTCGGATGCTGTCCAGAGGTGTGTTTGATAGCCTTCACAACCTTAAGCAACTCACAGCAAGGAACAATCCATGGCTTTGTGATTGTAGTATTAAGTGGGTTACTGAATGGCTTAAGTATATTCCATCCTCCATCAATGTTCGGGGATTCATGTGTCAGGGGCCAGATCACGTCCGAGGCATGGCCGTCAGGGAACTCACCGTAAATATGTTGTCATGTCCTCCAACTACCCCTGCTCTGTCATTTGTTACCGAGGCTCCCACAACACTCTTGCCAACTACAGTGGCCCCTGCTACATCTCTCTTGACCCCAAGTAACAAATACACTCCCTTTACCTCCATTGTAGCCACACTCCCCACTGTGCCTGAGAGAGATGATGGAGAAAAAGTGACCACTCCCTTTGTTGAGCGCTTTCAACTGTTTATCCACATTGTGAATGACACTTGTATCCAAGTCAGCTGGCATACTGTTTTTAATGTCATGGCTTACAAACTTACCTGGGTTAAAATGGGTCACAGTCTGGAAGGAGGCATTATTCAGGAACGGATAGTTAGTGACAAGAAACAAAATATTAGCTTGACAAGCCTAGAGCCCAAATCTACGTATCGGATTTGCTTGGTTCCTTTGGATGATTTTAATAATTATCGAGTTGGTGAGGACACTGTCTGTTCTGAAGGTACCACCAAGGCTTCCTTATTAAGCAATGGGAGCAACACAGCCTCCAGCCATGAGCAGACCACATCTCATAACATTGGTTCCCCATTTCTCCTGGCAGGATTGATTGGGGGGGCAGTGGTATTTGTGCTGGTGGTTCTGCTCAGCATCTTCTGTTGGCACATGCACAAAAAAGGGCGCTATACTTCTCAGAAATGGAAATACAACCGAGGCCGACGGAAAGATGACTACTGTGAGGCGGGAACCAAGAAGGACAACTCCATCCTGGAGATGACAGAAACCAGCTTTCAGATTGTCTCCTTAAATAATGATCAACTCCTTAAAGGAGATTTCAGACTTCAGCCCATTTATACCCCAAATGGGGGAATTAACTACACAGACTGCCATATCCCCAACAATATGAGATATTGCAACAGCGGTGTATCAGACCTGGAACACTGTCATACGTGATAGTGAAGGACATGGCAGGGCACCTAAAGCTAGGAACAGATACTCGGAGGGAGGAAACAAAATAAACCTACTCACAAACAAGAATTACATTTGATAAATGTTACACAGATGCATTTGTGCATTTGAATACTCTGTAATTTATATGGTGTACTATATAATGGGATTTAAAAAAAGTGCTATCTTTTCTATTTCAAGTTAATTGCAAATGGTTTTGTAACTTTTTGCTTTTTAAATCTTAAAAAATATAGCTGAAGTACTGTACAGGGTTGTACAATAAGAACCCAATGCCATGGCAAAGGAAAGAAATGCCTCATTCTTCAGACATCAATCATTTTTTTTATTTTTGAGCTTGTTTTGGGGGATACCGGCTCTTGCATCTTCCACTAGTTTAGGAGATAAGTTAAATGAAGAATAACATCAGAAGTTTCTAAGTAGAACCAGGTGTCAGGAAGAATATAAATTCTGTACTTTTTGGTTCCACTCAGAACAGAAAAATCCCAACCTTTCTAATATCAAACATGATGACTCTCTGCTCTTTATGTGAGCTTGTTTAAAAATGCTCACCACACATTTATTCCTCCTCAAAAAGGCTGGTATTGAGATATTAAAAGCAAAAGATTTGTTTGCCCTAAAGTTCTTCAAGTTACAACATTTGAAATATGTATAAACCAGCTTTTGTCAGAATTCTTAGTCTATAATCCAAATATTTTTCTTTCGTTTTTTCCAAAAGCAAATTTTCTTAAGGTCCCCAAGTTTACATTTACATTCTGTTGTTCATTACAGAAGTCCAAAAGGACCTGATACTTTGACCAAGCAATATATTGATTCAAATTACTTTAAAATATATCCAAAAGATGTTGAAAGTGGATTAAAGTACTCCCTTTGCCGTTTCTTGGTTTCATAGTATTCCTGGATAATTCAGTCACTTAAGTTAGCTTTCTCCAAGAAAAAGAAAACAAGGCCCATGGGAGCATTAAAATAGCAAACACTCATAATGTGTTCTGAAATATTTTCACGGGGGAAAAAACATCATGTCTAAATAAAAATTTATGTTAGACAAAAATGATGTTTTAGGGAAACAATCTGGTTAAAAAATAAGAATTTGTGGGGCTTATGTTACCATATATCTATTATGAATCCATTGACAATCTCTCTTTCTATGGTACAAAGACTTGCTTTTGGCATTTGAGGCTCCAATAATGCACTTGATTTTGTCTGATTTCATCCTATTGTTAATTTCAGATTTTTTTTTTCAATTTTGTACCTTTGCAAGTGACACCCTGGGAATGTATGCTGTGCAGTCCCTATTAAAAATGAAAACAAAGTGAAACAAACCCCACTCTCCTTAATTATAGAGGAGCTTGCATTGAAATAGCTCTGTTGCAGTACAAACTATCCATGGACCATCATAACTTTGTGGAGAAGCTGCTGTAGCTCCTAATATTATGCAAGTATCCACTAGTGGCATTCTAATTAATCCCTTTCACCCAGCATGAGTCCATATATTTGGATGGAGAAAGTTTCATCTCCACTTCCAGAACATCATACAATATTGCGCATATGCTGGGCAGAAAACAACCATATCCACTGTGAGTAGAGCATACATACTAGGGTCTAATATAGATATGAGGAGCCTGGTTTCTTGGGACTCCCAATTCTCACAAACCTTAGCTAGTGATGTGGGAATACCCTCGTTGTGGTTCATCAACATCCTGAGGGTCAAGGGTTGCTCACGTCTGGTCTAGTATGACCTTTGCCTAATATTTTTGCTTTCTTAAAGGCCCATCTCAATTTCTCTTTTGTAAGTCAACTCACTTCCTGTTCTTAAGATTTGAACACCCACATGATTAAAAAAAGATGTGGTGATGGAACCAGTCAGCACATCAATTCAAATAAAACATTCCTTGACATACAGGGTGTTCTTTTTAAAAGGAAAGAAGGAAGATCCTCTCTCCTAACATCAAAAAGAACCCACACAAGTGTTCATGTCAAACATTTTTTAAATTAAACATTTACCAAAAGAAGTCTTGAGAGAGACCGGGATTGCTAAATGTATTGAGTTGAAAGAGGGGGGGGGGCACGGAAAATATGGAAAGGTGTTAATCTTTTCTCCCCTATGTCTACTCCAACTGTTATTCACCAGAACACATGACCGTGCACTTCAGCTGCTTGACAACATTCATTCTCCATCTGAGAAGATGGATCAGCACTTTTGTGTATGATGGCAAAGTACAATCATTTCCTGAATTATGTCCCTTCCCACCCAACACCTTTTATAACCACATTTTGAATTTCCATTCTATATTCTGTATATTTGCTATTTTCTCCAGCTATAACAGGTATTTTAGGCAACCTGTATGGCTACTGTAATAGTGAAGTCACTGAACCTTTGCTAAATAAAAGGCTGCCGTATGGTTTGAAATGGTGTACTTTTAGCTAGAAATGTTTGTCCAAAGTGAGGTGATTTTTATTCTTTTGGCTCTGCAAACTGTTTGGCTCTTGACAGGTGGAGACACCAGGACTCTTTGCAGAGAAGGTTGAAGACTTTGTGAAAGTACAACTTCCATGATGCCATAGAATTGAGTCATAGTAATTAAAGTGGTGTGAAACTGCATTAATGCTACAGATATGCTCTTATTATGCTAGGACCCACTATCCTACTTCATCCATTGAAGTGGAATAGTAGGAAATATAGGACACACAAAAGGAATTCACTCTTCACACATTGCAGAGGCAAATTACTGTTTTCACAACTCCAGGATAAATGGTTGCCACTCCATTTGGATGGCATCCAAATGGAGTTTTGTTCCTTGGTTGTTTTACAGCATGGAGACATGGGATAAACTAGCACATACAGAGAGACGCCATTACTATTTTATGGAACTTATTTGATTTTCTCTTTCAATTGAAAAACTGACCAGAATAATTAGGTTCTTTCCAAGTAATGACTGTGTTCTCAGCACTTATATTTCATAACAGCACACTGCCTTAGCTTTTTGGCTGAAATTAAACTCCTGCATCTAAATTTATATATTTATATTTATGTGGTGATCCTATACACACCTGATATTAAGGGGGAGTGTATATACTTTAGATTCTATTTGTATACTATCCATACACAACTTTAATATATGCATATCATACAAGTTGGCCTGTGAAATAAGGAAGACCCTTTTGGATGATTTGTCATGATTATTTTATGAATCAGTGGGAGCTGCTACATGTAATGGCTGAGAGGGAATCTTTTATTTATTTATACACTTGTATACCGCTAATATCTCAGCCTAAGTCGGCGACTCATTGCGGTTTACAGCAATTAAAAACAATATACAATTTAAAACAACACATAGACAATACAGATTATTGGGCCACCAATAATAATACCATGCATCTCGTCAATAAAATCACAATCCAGAATTCGTCATACATAATTAACCAGTCCTTAGTCAGCAAAGTTCGGTAATAACAGACTAACCGAATGCTTGTTTAAACAACCAAGTTTTTAGTGTCTTCCGATAAGCCATCAGCGAAGAGGCAGATCGTATCTCTATAGGGAGGATGTTCCAAAGCCGAGGGGCCACCACAGAAAAGGCCCTGTCTCTCGTTCCCGCCAGCCGCACTTGGGAAGCCGGTGGGATAGAGAGCAGGGACTCTCCAGAAGATCTTAGGGTCCTGGTGGGCTGATAGGCTGAGATACGTTCGGATAGATAAGTTGGGCCAGAACCGTTTAGGGCTTTAAAGGCCAACCAGCACTTTGAATTGAGCCCGGTAGCATATCGGCAGCCAGTGGAGCTGGTGCAGCAGAGGAGGTGTGTGCTCCCTGCGCCCCGCTCCTGTTAGTACCATGGCTGCCGCCCGTTGGACTAGTTGGAGCTTCCGAGCCGTCTTCAAAGGCAACCCCACGTAGAGTGCATTGCAGTAATCTATTCAGGATGTAACCAGAGCGTGGACCACCGTGGCCAGATCTGACTTCCCAAGGTACGGGCGCAGCTGGCGCACAATTTTTAATTGTGCAAAAGCTCTCCCAGCCACCGCCGAGACCTGGGTTCCAGGCTCAGCGATGAGTCCAGGATCACTCCCAAGCTGCGAACCTGCGTCTTCAGGGGGAGTCTAACCCGTCCAACACAGGCTGTAACCCTATGCCCTGTTCGGCCTTATGACTGACCAGGAGTACCTCTGTCTTGTCTGGATTCAATTTCAATTTGTTAGCCCTCATCCAGATCGTCACAGCAGCCAAGCACTGGTTCAGGACCTGAACAGCCTCCTTAGTAGCAGATGGAAAAGAGTGACAGAGTTGGACATCATCTGCGTAAAGATGACACAGCACCCCGAAACTCGGATGATCTCGCCCAGCGGCTTCATGTAGATGTTAAACAACATGGGAGACAGTATTGAACCCTGAGGAACCCCACAAAACAAAGGTTGTGGGGTTGAACAGGAGTCTCCCAGTAACACCTTCTGAGACCGACCCTCGAGGAATGAGTGGAGCCACTGCAGAACAGTACCTCCCAGACCCATCCCCGCGAGGCGTCCCAGAAGGATACCGTGGTCGACGGTATTGAAGGCCGCTGAGAGGTCGAGCAGCACCAACAGGGACACACTCCCCCTGTCGAGCTCCCGACGCAGATCATCCACTAAGGCGACCAAGGCTGTCTCAGTACCATGCCCCGGCCTAAAGCCAGACTGTGCCGGATCCAGATAATCCGTGTCTACCAAGAATGCCTGGAGTTGTGAAGGCCACCACACGTTCCATGACTTTGCCCAAAAAGGGGAGATTGGAAACAGGCCGATAGTTGACGAATTGAGTGGGGTCCAGTGATGGTTTCTTCAACAGCGGTTTTATTACAGCTTGTTTTAAGCTGGCTGGAAATATGCCTTCCCGAAGGGAGGCATTAACCACCACCTTAACCCACTCGGCCAATCCCCCTCAGGCGTCCTTTAGAAGCCAGGATGGGCAGGGGTCTAGGATGCATGTGGTAGCTCTCATTCCTCCAAGCACCTTGTCCACATCCTCGGTTTGAACCAATTGAAATGAATCCATCAAAATTGGACAAGCAGATGCTCGTGTTACATCCTCAGAGACTGCCGTTAATATGGTATCCAGTCCAGAGCGGATCAAAGCGACTTTGTCTGCGAAGAACCGAGCAAAAGCTTCGCAGCGAGCCGCCGAGTCATCAGGGCACCCATCCTGAGTGGTGGGTTTTAATAAGCCTCTGACAACTCGGAACAGTTCAGCCGGACGGTTTTTGCAGACGCAATAGTGGCCGCAAAGAAAGTTTTCTTTGCGGCCTTTATTGCCGCGGCATATGCCCTTAAAAAGGACACAAACCGTGTTCGATTTGACTCACCCGGATCCGAGCGCCACACGCTCTCTAGTTCCCTCTTCTTTCGCTTCAACGCTGCCAGCTCCTCGGTAAACCAAGGAGCTGGTTTAGCTCGGCTACTTGAGAGGGGACGTTCTGGAGCGATCGTGTCTATTGCCCTAGTCATCTCCCCATTCCAGAGAGCGACCAGAGCATCAACAGGATCACCAACCGAGGTGGCGGGAAATTCCCCAAGAGCCATCAGGAATCCATCCGGATCCATAAGCCTCCTGGGGCGGACCAATTTAATGGGTCCTCCACCTCTGCGGAGGTTGGGGGGTGCAGTGAGTCTAAAGCTGACCAGGTGGTGGTCGGTCCACGGCAACGGAGAGATGGTTAACTCCTCAACACCGCCACCTTCCTCCCATCCCTGACAGAAAACCAAGTCCAATGTATGTCCAGCACTGTGGGGGGGGCCAGATACCTGTTGGGACAGCCCCATGGTTGCCATGGTAGACATGAAGTCCTGAGCCGCTCCCGATAGGGCGGCCTCGGCATGGACATTGAAGTCCCCCAGCACAAGCAGCCGTTGGGACTCCAACGCCAGGTCCGAGACCACCCCCGCTAGCTCAGTCAGGGAGTCTGTAGTGCAGCGAGGTGGACGGTACACTAACAGAATCCCTAATCTGTCCCGGTCACCCACCCTCAGGTGGACGCATTCAAAATTTGTTGACTGCGGGATGGGGGCCCTGGTCAGAAGAATGGAATCTCTATAGACCACTGCAACTCCGCCTCCCCGCCCTCCGGATCGCGGTTGGTGCTGTACAGAGAAGCCTGGTGGGCAAAGCTGGGTTAAATTTACACCTCCCGCTTCGTCCAACCAGGTCTCTGTGATGCACGCCAGATCTGCCCGTTCATCCAGGATTAAATCCTGGATGAAAGTTGTTTTACCATTGACAGATCTGGCGTTCAACAGCACCACTTTCAATCCGGAGGGACCGCCATCCTGGTTACACCAACTTCTCATATCAGGAGACCGTTTTGGAATTACTAACGTTGTTCCCCGCCCCCGTTCCCTAGGTCGAATTGAAGGCCTCCCTTTCCCGTATCTCCCCCTCCCCACCACGACTTCTATGGGGGCTCCCCGGTTAGCGGAACCCTCTCCCTCCTCCATGACGCATTGAACGGCCACAGTATCAACAGACAATTCATTATT